TCTGTTGAGGTGTATGCTCAGCTTTTTACTTCAGTTGGGAGGAGTTGGTTGTGTTGTTCCGGCGCCGGATCCCCGGGCCTGGTTCCGGCCCCAGCCTGGAGCATGCTTGTTAGGCCTGTGCTGATGTGTATACCACCTAAGTTATGCAGCCTGGAGTGCACTCGTTAGGCCTGTGCTGCTGTGTATACCACCTAGGTTATGCAGCCTGGGGGACACAGTTCAAATTTCTTCTACTGTTGGTAGTCTTGACCCAGGGGCGCTGTTCCTGGCTTGGGCATTTAAGCTCCCTTTCAGGGGCACTCTTGCTCTGGCCTGGCCAGCAGAGTGTGCTCCACCGGCTGGTGGAGCTCTAGAATAGTTCCCAGTTTTAGTGGGTCCTGTGGTCCGGGTGTTGGGGTAGGGAGTCTAGGTCAGGGTCTGGGGATTCCCTCCAGCTCTGGTCTCCATTGAGGGATGCACTGTCCCCTGTGAAGTACTCACCCTGGAGCTGGTTGTTTCTGTGTGGTGTAGGTCGTCAGTTGTTGTTGCAATCCGAGTTCAGTTGGGGTGCGGCGCCCTCCGGGTCGTTGCAATCATGATTGGGCGGGTGGTCTGCCCACAGGTCCCTTTGTAGCTCTGCTGGTGCCAGGCGGCTTTGGCGGGATGGAGCCTCTCCTCTCCAGTGGAGAGTGACGGGTGGGGGTGGGATCCTCGTTGAGAATCCCGGCTGGTAGGTTTCTCTGTTCCTGGCAATCCGCTGTTCTGCGAACCCGTACCTGGTGATCTGCAAGCGGCCCCCTGTGTCTCTGGGGTTCTGGCAGCCCCCGCCGGGCCGGCTGGCTGCCGGCTTGGCCCACTGCCGTGCGGCCAGTAAAGGTTGTGGGAGGGGTCTTCGCTCTTCTCTGTTCTGAAATTCTTCTTTTCCTCTCTTTCTTTTTTTGTTATTTTCCACCTCTGGTTTTTCTCTGAGTATTCGTCTTTTTGTTGTTGTCGGTCTCTTGGGGAGAATAAGCATTGGAACTCGAACTCTCTTTTTAGTTGGAGAGAGCTGTGGCATTTCCCTACTGCCCCGTCGCCATCTTGGTCACCCCTCCTTTATGATGTTTTATAAACTTTCACAAAGTCTACAAATCAAGCAGGAATTACATAATCTGCTCAATGCTTTCCCAAGGAGTTACTATCCAGTACAAATCATGTCCCCACCCACCCCTCTAAAAAGCTAGGTTTCCTGCTCTGTTCCCATTCCTTGTGTCCTGGGTGCTCACATGAGGCCTCTCCCTAGTGTTATTCGATATTTCTCCTTCCCTGCAGGCTAGGCACTTCCTTCTGATTCATGGAGACCAACTATCTGTAGGAAGCTATTCAGGCACAGGTATGATTCCTGCTGGTTTGGGGTAGGTCCTGGGCCTTCATGAAAGGGGCAAGCGGAGGTGATGGTGGAACTGGAGATCCCAATCTCACATTGGAGCCTTTATCATCCCTTGACTATTGAGCATTTCCCACATGTGGCACTGAAATGTCCGAAGACTGGTTGGGAGGAGTTTTGCCTCTGCTGAAATCCCATCATTTTTACACTGCCTGAGCAGAGGTAGACATCGCCTAAAATAGTGACACTTGCCAACATTAGCTGGGGACAGGAGTTCCCACAGTGTATGGGATAACTATCTTCGTAAAATAGACAGAGATATCATGTGCTGCATGTATTCTATAGGGAAGCCTGGCAGAACAGTGTTCTAAACTGGATGGAACTCACTGCCCAATCATGACTCAAATGCAGCCTGAAATAAGTAGAATGAGTTTCACTAGGGGTCCCTGGCAGAAGAGTAGATAGTAATAGGGCCTGTATTTACCCAGCCTCTCCCAAATTCTTGTCACCTGGAGTCTCCTTAAACCCAGACACTTTCCTTTCCCCTAACTGGAAAGCTCTTAATTCTTATGGCTCTAGATATGGTGCAGAAACCTGACTGAGAGTACCACCTACTGCCAGGAGAGATCACTGCAGGCTAAAATAGAAGACACCCAGGAAAAGAGGTTTATCATGCTTAGTCCTTGTTCTTCTCTGGGGTCTTGTGGGCCTGGCAGATACCATCCCACCATTGGCAGGGGACTTGTGCTGCAGTGTGACACCAACAGTAACTCTGTGGCAGCATGATAGTTGGAAAGCTACTCACATTCCAGGCTTGGTTTCAAATCAAGAACCTTGACTCCTTAGAAGCATCTGCAGGTGTGTGAACAGGGGTTCCATGAACATAGAATGTTCTTGGCCCAATTCTCTTCAGAGAGGCCTGGGATGGGAAAGGGCTTGGGAACTTTGGTTGAGTGGTAGAGCAGATCCTAGGATGAGGCACCACAATTGTGTGTAGGTCTTGGGGTGTGTACAGATCCACATTCACCACATTCCTGTAAAATGAGTACCCAGAGGGACTTCCTAGTCTCTCTACCAGCCCCAGCTGAGCCAAGCACTCTCCTTCTCAGTCAAATACAGCTAAAAATGAAAATGGTGGCAATATCTGCAATAAATATCAAGTCACAAAAGCAAAACAGGTCAAAAAATCAGCTTGCCTTAAAAAGGCCACAGAAAACTGGGTGCCAACGGCTGAGATCTGAGGACCTCAGTTCCAATCCAGGCAGGAAAGTCTGCCTTATCTCAAAAGGCTGGAAGTAAAATTGTGGTTTGAGGGGTAGGATTCTAGTCTTGAGCCAAAAAAGCTCAGGAACAGTGCTCAGGTACTGAGTTCAAGCCCCAGAATGACACACAAAGGCAACTGAGAACCAAAGGAGAGACCAGTGTTAGTTTATTTGGATATTTATTCACATGTGGGATGCCAATCCTCACACATGTCACCTGTACCCCTCACATGCCCACCCAGCCCCCGTGAGGGACACCACCATAAGAATAGGCCCATTACCACCACCACCCCTCCACCCCGCAACACAGGTAGCAGCCCTAGAGCAAGCAGGCCATGCTCTGTCTGCCTTCATACACTGTTTCCTGCAGCAATAAGTTGCCCAACCAGCCACCTCCCCTTATATCACTTCACTGTGCTTGGCAGGCCATCTTCCCTCAGGCCCTGTTTCGTGCTCTATAAAGTAAGGTTACTAGTATATATGTTATAGGGCAGAAGGGAGGGTGGAAGAACTAGGGATGGAGGCGTATTCTGTCACTCTCTGATCCCAGTCAGCGACATAGCTAGAGGTAGAACAGAGTGAGGATAGCAAAGAGAAAGTGAGGCATGGCTCTATGGTCATTTGACATATTCTTGTTCTAGTTGGGGCTGCTTCCCTCAATCAGTAAGTCCAAAGATGTTTCTAAAAAGTGAGAACTCCATGAGGGTCCTCAACACCGGTCACCCTCATTTGTTCCTGCTAACACTGGCTCTTCTTAGTCCAAGGGCCTCGCCCAGGCTGGAGCCAAATATATGTGAAAGGTGATTTTGTCACTAGCCTTGTATCTGGGCTGTCAGGAGCCCCACTTGCTGTTAAATCTACCCCCTCCAAGCTCCTAATGGGGAGTGTTTCTGTACTTCTCCCGGGGAAATCACCCAAAATGAGACCAAGTTCCCTCAGTCCACACATTCCCCTCCTGCAGCCCTGCCCTGATCAATACCATCCAGCAGGTTGAGGTCTTTCCATTCACTCTATGGCTGGCCTGAGAGCTGGATGCGGCAGCAGATGGCGGTGACTACTATAAACTCCTTACTGGCCATTCCTCTTTCGTCAGTGTTCTGGTGCCTCACCACACAGGTGTTGTCCACAGGGAAAGCTCCCAGGGTGACTGAGGTCTCAGGATGGGCACTGCAGCTGGTCAGGGTCCAGCCTGCATCACAGCTCACGGTGACCTGCCAGAGTCCAGACAGCACAAGTAAGGCCAGGTCCCGCATGCATGGTCAGGTCTCTAAGCCACCTGCTACACTGTCCCTCCCAGCAACCCTCAGTGGGGACCAAACTGTGA